AAGCATTGTGACATATAGGACTGACTGAATGCTCTTGACATCCACTAAGGAAGGGCAGGACAGAACATCAGAAAAAAAGAAAGATTTTTTTGTCTAGTAGTTAGGAAGCATGAAAGGCTGTGAAAAAGCTTGGAACTAGCTGTGAATATTTAAGGCTTTCTCTGGGAGCAGGCATCAGAAATAGGTTTAAAATACCACTTTGAACAAACAAGTCCTGTTAGTGACCAGAATGACCATGCTGTGGGGTCAAAGTTACAGGACAAAATCCACAGGCTTGTAGCTCACAGAGGAGTATCTCCATCCCACTAAGAAAAGAAAGTGAACAGATGCTCCTTTGGGGCTGTCCAGATGGCCAAGTAGCTGCAAAAGGCATAAAGAAGGATCATAGCCTACAGCAGCTTTCAAGTAGCCAAACAGATCTAAAATGAGCAACGACCTTCATAAACCCACTCGATGTAAAATACACCCTTGCAGCAGGGTGAAGATGAGGGGGAATCTCTGTCTCTCTCACGACATAGATATTTCAGCCACAAAAAAGGATTTCAGAGTGAGAACAATGTGCAGTCTGCTCTCACCACCAGAAAATCCACTTTTCCACACCAACTTCTTGCTTTCTAGGCAGGGTGCCAATGGGTACCTGGCAGCCTGCTTGCAGGGCACCACTCCTAATCACATTAGAGGAAAAGCACTTCCTTGGAAGGGAGACAGACATTGCAAAGAAAGGAGAATGTGGGCTGATCTTGCTAAGGGAAGTGAGCAAAATTACCACCCGAAGAGTGGTGTGAAACTTAGCACTGCAGAAATGGCATCTTTGTCTCCAGATGCTTATTAGATACAGAGAGCCTGGAGACATTCGTAGAAACAATAGATGATTGGGGTTTTGGGGAGGTCTTGCATCCATCCTATGATTCCATCAATCCTATGATTCATTCTCCTTCTACAAGGACCATCCCCAGTCCTGGGGAGAATTATCTGTCCCAGCTCATAAAACCTTCAGGAACGGACCTGATGTGACCTGCTGGTGTCCACAATGGCAATAAGGCTTTTGTTTTGCCTTTAACTATCCTACATTGGGACTTTTCTATATCACCATGGAAAAGAGTGACTCTAACAGCAGAATTGTGTAAAACATTGATCTCTGCCATCAGAAAACCTGGGGCTGTTCATTTTACAGATGGTGTAACTACAAAAGGCAGCTATGTTTAGGCAGGTTCCCACTTACCTGGTTGCTGGAAGGACTTGCAAATGTCAGGACCCAAGAAGTTATAGGTGTTATGGCCACATCTGCAGCACTTCCAGAGGAATTCCTGTAAACCAGCATGTGAAAGGAAAGAACGGCATATAGGCAATGGGAAACATGGTCAAGCAGAGGCAATACACTGATTTTGGGGACAAAATGTCAAACAAGCAAAGGCAGAGAGAAGAGCAGGGCAGATCTCAAAGGATGCAGGTAACTTGGCACACTTGAATGATTCCCACCACAACTTTTGCTTGCACAGCCACGCAAAACCTCCTGCTATTCCATGTCTACTCCACATCCATCACTCCTCCTTACTGTTTGTCCCATTAGGTGAGAAGTTCCTGGAGCCCAGAGCTTCGATGTCTTTACAGCACTGCTACAGAGGAGCTCTGGTATTAGATGGTTTGTTTAGGGTCTGGTGCTCAGATGCAGCACAGCACAACTTGGACATTATCAGTGTATTTGGAGGTTTTGGGTCAGTAGATGGTCATGTTATGAAGTAATCCAAAAGCCATTTAGAAAATGACTTCAAGAAAAGAGTTGATGTGGCACTTTGGGGACATGGTTTAGTCAGCATGGTGGTGATGGGTTGGGTTTGGACTTGGTGATCTCGGTGGTTTTTTCCAACCTTAATAGTTCTATGAAAATACTTACAAACAGACCTTTAAGATTTCCTAAGTTGTGTGTTTAAATGCCTTCCACATAAAACGTTCCTCATTAAAAAATCATTACAAATTTCTTTCTCTGGAATCAAACTCTCTTTGATGTAAAACAACATCTTCCATGGGAAAACTCCAAGCGTTTCAATGGAAGATGTCCAGCCAGCTCTCATGTCAGATCTCACTGGAATGGTTCGTGTGCAATAAAATGAATGCTCCTCCTACATGCGAAATGCATGTAACAGAATTAGCTTTTGCACAGGAGAAAGGTCTGGTCAACCACCCAGTTATTAAGAAATTAAGTTACTTTCTGTGAAGGACTCTTGCCTATCACAGTGTAAAGTTGCTCAAACGCTTTTCTGCTGGCAGGGCTCCTAATCCAAGTGAGGACTGATGTCAAGTCAGGGCTCTTGCTTCTGAATCTAGCAGCACAAAGTGAATGAAGAGGTGCATGAAATGGAAAAGACAAGATTGTCCCTTTTCACAGAGGAGGGAAGAGCTTCTGAAGAGCTGGGCTTTCACAGCTTGCCAGTTGGAAGCAGAGCCGCTGGATGAGTTTTATTTGATGTGAGCAGATTCCTCCTACTGCTGCACTTGAAAGGCAGATGGAAAGACCTTAATCTGGTCACTCCTGTTTTAAATTATGCATCCTCCATCTGCTGACTAGAGCACAGACATGCTGACAGTAACTGCTGCGCTTCTTAAAATAATCTCCCTGCTGCAACAGCTACTTGTGGAGAGGTTTACACATCTTCCACCTATGAATGGTGTCTGCACACCACACCTGAAAGCCTCTCTTGAGGGCCAGAACCCAACCTTGAGCCCTGCAACACTGGAAATCTCCAACCCCTGGTCCGTAATATTACTTGCAATGGGTCTTGATGGCTTTTGAGACCACAGCAGCCAAGCCTGGTTTCCCATCTAGTTGGAGCTCATGGGGATCTGTATTCAGATTCCAGCATGTGGGTCCATGGAGCAGAACCAGAACTTGGATGGGGACTGATGCCTGTACTCCACATTGAACACTCTCAATCCTCTGCCCCTTTCTTCCAACTCTAAATCAGTTGTGTCAGCTCCTTAATTATTTTAATTTTTCTTCCTTCTCCAAATCCCTCAAATATATTTTATACATAGGGTACAGGCTTAAAAAGGAAAGCTACTGCTGTGCCCTTTCCTCTGAAATATTACCGGAGAAATGTATGTATTTCATCTCTACCGTTCATTTTCCCAGACAGTTTTTACTTTGAAGGAGTTTGAAACAGTAATAGACTGATGGCTACTTTCCAGCTCTATTGATTAACAGTGAGTGGTCAAGATCTTCAGTGCCTGAGAATATATCCAGAAATAGGGACAGGTGAATTATTGCATTTTCCCACACAGGGAAGGAGCAGGGGACGATGAGACCTACAAGAGGGAGTCCAGAAGATCAGCCTACCCCACGTGGGTGCAATGTCCCAGCGTGGGGAAGAATCAATGATTATTTGTTTTAGCACAAAACAAGGCTAAATCATTTGCAGATCCTGTGATTTCAGAGTGTTTCTGTGGGTTCCTCCAGGCGTGAGGCAAAGAAGAGGGTTGGATCTAGATGATCCTTGAGATCTCTTATAACCCAACCCATTCTAAGGCTTGGCGGCCACCACTGCCCCTCCATCTCAGTGCTCATCTGATAGAGGTGCAATTTCTCCACCGACCTTCCAAGAAGGTATTTTTACTACCAGGAGGACAGAGAATTTTTGAAATTAAGTGCTCTCCTGGGATTAAAAAGCATTTTCTCATTTCTCCCATGGTATCCTAACACTGAAGAACGAGGGAGGGCAGATGCCATGGGTGACGGCAAGCAACTGGTCCCCACAATGTGCACAATGAGCCTGTGAGGAGTTGGGAGTGAAGTTGGAAGTGTTTGGATCTTCTCTGCAAGCTGTTGGTGCTGGGGGTGTTTCTGAACTGCCTTTCAGCTGGGCATCCAAGTGAAGTTTTTGTCTGCACATTAAGTGCTGCCACATCAGCCTCCAAGGGCATCAGAGCACTAGAAAGCTGCCATTTCCAATCCCAATGCAGCTAATAGTCAGTGAATGCCTGCTTCTATGATATATATTACAAAACTCAGATCCTGGCAGGATTAATGCACTGTGAAAAAGACTCAAGATCTTCAGTGTGGCAGGATGCTATTTTAACGCATCAGCTTTATTGGGCCCATGAGTGCCCAGTTTTGGAAGAATCAGGAATCCTTAAATGCAAAGAAATGTAGTGAAGAAAAACAGAAATGACAGCAAAAAAAGATAAAAAGCACCTGTAGAAAGTAAACTATGACAAATTTTTTGGTTTTTGTCTGTCAAAATGCTTAAGTCAATAGCTAACTGAGAAGTACTAGCATCAATACATATTGGAAAGCTGTGGAGTCCGAAGGAAAACAAATCTTTGTGTACTATAAAGTGATACATGGTGATATATATCACCAGGCAGCTGAAACACTACAAGAAAATCTTGAAGTAAAGGCATGTTCTCCATCTTTCTACTTATCTTTTTTATGGAATGAGATTGAACTTATATTATCTCCATTAAATCCAAGAGAATTTGCCAAGGGGGTTTCATCTGTTCTGCAGAAATCTAAACTACCATTTGAAGACACAACATTTCCCACAACGTTTTTGCAGTAGGAATAATGCATCTCTTGGGCTGTTCTGACTTATATCTTGCCCTGTTCACCTTCAGCTATGTATGTGCACCTCTCTTTTCTCTTCCCCTTTCCTTGGAAGGTGCCTGCTTGTTATCCACATGCACTGACATCGCAGGAGGACCAGCAATTTACGTACTCACCCAGGCTTGGGTCAGCTCTGCTCTCTTCATTTCTGTCCACTGATCTCAACAAGAGTTGGGTTCGAGCCACATGGTACCCCTGAGGATTACTCATGATCAATCTAGGGCTGAGATAATACTTGATCAGGTTTAGGATAAGCAATAAGAAGGAATAAACTAAAGCCATACATCTTTGACATTAGTAGTCAAGAAGCATCCCAGAGTGCTATTTCACTGATTTCAGTGGAATTATGTCATGCATTAATTTGAGCCAAAACCACAATACATATTTCAGTGCTCCTGAAAGCCCCCCTTAGAATTTATTCTCCAGTGGATGTTCCATTAAAAGAAAAATACACGACTTTTAGCCATTGATCAGAATATATTGTAACACATCTGAGCAGAGAGATTACAGAATACCTCACGGAAGACTGACCTTTTGATGTGTGACAGAAAGATTGCTGGAAACGAGGGAACAATCCAAGACTTATTAACTGAGAGCACCCAGGGGCATTAAAATCACTGCATTATGGCAGGCTTGGACTCTCGCCGTGCCCTTTATGTGCAGCTAAAAGAGACTTGCAAAAGAAGCTCCTCTGAAGAAATAGATACAATATTTTTGCAGCCAGTGACAAGAGAGTTTTGACAAATTTTAGATCAGCTCACTTGGAGGGAACAAAGGCTGCCGAAGCGAGTCAAGTTCACTCTTCAGTAGTCATGACAACACTTTCAGGAACTCACAATTTAGGGAAGAAGAAAAGGAAATAAATACTGATTGGAGACACAAAGCTATCCATTATTGCTTGTACGTTATCTCTCACCATCTGTGTGGCTTTGAAGCTATGAATCCAATGCTTGGTAGCATCCTGGGGTCCTGGCACTACATGGTACATCACAGCCGAGGTCAGAGCTCAGCAACTGCTGGGCAAATATAGGATCACTGTGCAGAAGTCCCATGGTCAGAGCCTGGGATGTTGTGGGCTCATCGTGAGAGCAATGGAAGAGGCCAGCTTCAGCTCCTTCCAGCTCTTCACCCGGGGCCACTTTGGGAGATGATAGCATTGGTGGACAAAGGAAGGGTAACCGATGGCTACCTGATATCCTGGGTGGCAACACAGGTTTAAGATCTCTTTCAACTTGACTTCTATCATTCAGTGTTATACCTCCCAGGGCTGCATCATAGGAACACAATGGCCGTCCTGAGGTGGGCAGAGTTGAAGGGATAGGTCCAAACTACTGCTGCTAATGCAGAGCACTCAGATTTTACGTTGAGGGCAATGAAGAACGCTGGGCACACTCCATCCTGCTGGCCCCTGGCCTGGTGGTGGCGTGGTTACAGACAGCTGGAAGATAGGAATATCAGAAACAACACCAACTGCTTGCTAAATGGAAGCAGATCTGTGCAAGTGCTTGCCTTGCAAGTCACATCTGTTCTTTGAAAGTCTATTTCCCTTCTTTCCATTCCCCCAGGAAGTTTGCTAGAGCATTATTAGATTTTCTTTTTCCTTTCTCTCTCTCTTTTTTTTTTTCCTTCATCTCTTTATATGTAATAGCTTCCCTCCAGCTAAATCTCTTCTTTGCTTCTTATCTTCTTTGCTTCTGCTAATGCCCAGCTGGACAAATGGAAACCAGAGTCCTCACTGGGCAGTGATGGGCCAATGGAAGCTGGAAAGGCTGCATGGCAGGGGAAAAGGGATTGGGATTGACAGCCCTGGTGCCCAGGCTTCCTTTGCAACCCCTAAATGGAGTTGGAAAATAAACAAACAAACAAGCAAGCAAGCAAGCAGCAAAGAACCAAAATAACAGCAAACCAAACTGGACAGAAATTATGGTTTCATCTGTTTGTAGCACAATGAAGGTAGGTGTCAGAGCTGTGCTGAAGCAGGGCAGAGGAAATGAGAATCTTCCATGGAAACTAATCTGGAGAGGCTGTGCTTGTGACCTGCGACCTCTACCAACAACAGAAATTGTCAAGTGGGGGACTAATTGGAAGGGAATGGATCCCAGTGCAGCTGAGGACATCTGTATCTCTTCTTAGTCTCTTGAGAGCCTCCTTGGACAGCAAGGTTCAAAGCATCACAGAAACTGAGCCTTATTGGACAGAGGCAAGAGATTGCATCCCTTTTGTGTGAAGTTTATGTACTGTATGTGTGTGCTGCAAGTGCCCACATGAGCACTGAGAGTACCTTGGCTGCATACCCCACTTTAAAGTAGCAATTATGGGACCCAACCAGAGCAAACACAGTTGTTGCAATGTCACCTTGTGCCTAGTGTGCCAGAAGAACCACGTCCAACAGCAGTGACAGATAGAAGATCAGCTTTTTTATGGTCACCAAAACATCTGAGAGATTGCAAATGTGCATGCACTGCTTTCCTGGGCAGGCTGTGATATGGTCTTAGGGATATTGAGATGAAAAGTGGGTGAAATGCACAGCAGGCCCAAATCCCAAACTGCAACAGGTCACAAGCACAGCCTCTCCAGATTAGTTTCCATGGAAGATTCTCATTTCCTCTGCCCTGCTTCAGCACAGCTCTGACACCTACTTTCATTGTGCTACAAACAGATGAAACCATAATTTCTGTACACATCAATTATGTTTACTATTATGTTGATCTAGAACATGACATTTTGACTAAATCTAAAATGCTTGCTAACAGTGAGTTTAAATCTAATCCTTAGGCAAACAAACAATACCCACCCCTTCTGGTGAGTCAACCAACTTGGCTGTACATGGAGGTAATTCTCATCACCACATTGAGAGCCAAAGGGAAAACTATTGCGATAAGCTGTACAGAAATCTGCAATTCTGATACCGAGTTTTGTTCCAGATAGGATAAACTTTCCAATCTTACCCACAAATAAAAATGCAAGTTTTCCATCAGGCCAATGAAAACTTCCTCCTCTTCACTCAAGCAAAATGTTTCACTTCAATTTCAGTCTTTTTATAGGTTGCTCTTTATCACGTAGAAAGAAAACAGTTTTCTTGCTGGTTTGTGGCAGTTAACAAAATTATATTCAGCAGCAAGCAAATAGCCTGTTAGAGGAAAGACATAGTTATAGGCATTATAATTCCTCTCCCAACACCATAAATGTCAAATACCTTCAAAACCACAACGTTTTCCAAGAAGCAATGGATAATGCCTTCTGTGAACATCACCACAGAGAGTATGGCTGCATATGGCAAGGAGAGAAACGTGATATAGGGCTGGGAGAGACACAGGTGCTCTCTGGGTGGTGCTAGGGCTCATTAGCCCACCCATTACTGTTTTAGCTCAGGTGATTCAAGCTTTCAGCAGTATGTTTTCCTATCAGTAACGATGCCACTTGGCTGTTTGCTTGGAGCTTTGCAGCATGTGGATGAATTCTGGGTTAGCTCATAGAATCAGAAGGTCATTAAGGTTGAAAAAGACCTCTAGGATCACCATGTCCAACCCCAACCCATCCCACCATGCCCACTGTGTCCCTCAGTGCCACATCTCCATGGCTCTAGAACTCCTGCATGGATGGTGACTCCACCAGCTCCCTGGTGCCCAACCAATCTTTTGGAGAAGAAATTTTTCCTACAATCCAACCTGATGCTCCCCTGGTGCAACTGAAAACCATTACCTCTTATACATTGGTTTGGAAAGTGAAGGCCTTGACCTTTCTAGTGCTTTTGCTGAGGGCATTGGGCAAAACACCGAGAAGTGCAGTTAATGGCCTAAAAACTGCCAAACATCCCTACAAATTTAAACAAGGAAAGATGTGCTTTTCTCCATCTTGGAGTCACAATAATAAAGATGAGACCAAACAGCTGTTAGACTTGGTTGTGCCTTTTTTTCCCCCCTGTATACCTAATGACATCAACGAAAATGTCAAATCTTATAGCAGCTCCTTCCTCCCTTTCCTGTTTCATAATCCAGTGTAAAATGCAGTTAGAAGAGAGGCTAGGAGCTGGTTTCCATCCAGATACTCCTATCCTTGTAGTTTTCCACACAGAGCTAGTGTTAGGCAGAAAAACTTAATATTTTAACCCAAACCACTCACTATTTCATCTGCCTTCACCCATGCCCAGCAGCTGTGGCCTCCAATCTTTACAGACCAGCATATTTCTCCAATGCTTTTGGGTACATACTATTGGCAACAGAAATAACTCATTGGGGGACATCTATTTTTCCAAAGCCATGACCCATCCATGGACTGCGGTTTGGAAACCAGATCCTTAAACAAAACACTTCCAACCCTTGAAATCCCTCCTTGTGCCTGGGGCTTTGCAAGCCTCCACTTCCTTTTGGCATCCATCTCCAGATTGTGTCACTTGCCAGCTTAGTTAAGAAGCTGATTTGAATGTTGTTTTATCACACTGTGCTTCTCAGACAGCATTGAGTCAGCTTTAAACCAGCGCAGTGTGTGCTAGCTCCCAGTTAATTATAGTCATAAAACATAATTTACTCCAGTAGAAGGAAATACTTGAATCTGGAGGGCTCTTTGCTGCAGACACCAAATCCTGAGTTGGGTTTTCTTTTCCCCCTTTATCACAGTGTTAGGAAGTGAATTTTCTGACTGTGGGATGGCAAATCACTGAGGACCACATCCAGACGACCCACAGTGCACGGATGATCACAGCAAGGATGTTTTGTCTCCAAATATCTTTAATGCAGCCCTGAGGAAGAGAGGAAAGGAAGTTGCGCCCTCAATAATTAACAGTTTACATCTTTATTGGGGCTTCTTAGCATCCACCAAAGCCCCCAGGTACCCATCCTCCCTCCAGTAGGACCTACCTCAATTCCCCATGGAAATGCCTCACAGGGTTGATGCTTCCTCCCATTTTCACTTTCCAGGGAGCTGAATTATTCCAGTACTAGTATTCTAATGGAGAACTTGATTTCCCAAAGACCACATGCTCTCAGTGCAAAGAGCTGCATCCTATTTGTTGTCCCTACCACAGCTGGACTGAATTCACTTCATTAAACCCATTCCTTACATCCATGTCATTAAGCAAATCCATCTGATTAAGGCACCTGATGGTTTGAGAGCTGAAGGTGGAGATAAGGAGAGATCAGCGCCCTCCTTGCTGTAGTCACAGCTCTTGGAAACATCCCAAGTACAGGACTCAGGGTTATTCTGGGATCATTTGCATGTGTTAGAATCTCTCTGCCATTGTCCAGAAGGGGGTTTTTGGCCAGAAACCAGGTTTAAGGTTTACACAAGAGGTTCAGGCTTGCACAGCTCAGCGTTTTCCCACCAAGAGGTTGCCTTGGATGAGTGCCCAGCTACAAGGAGACAGCTGGGGAAGGAGCATGGTGGAGGACATACGGTAGAGCTGCAGCAACAGCAACCCACTCTCTCCTTCAAACTGTCATGAGTGTTTGAAATAGGTGGGAGAGGTGTGGGCACAAGCTGGAATATCTTGTGAGAACTCCAGTGGGAGCAGCTTCTGCTGATGGGCACCTTGGAGGGGGCAGCTTGTTCCCAACAGTGTTTGAGGCATATAAGAAGGGTGAGAGCAAAGTGGATTTGCTGATGGAATGGCATATAACCAAATCCCTTTTCCTCACCTCTTTCCTTACTCCTTGCTGCTGGATGAGAAAGTCATCTCATCCACCTGCTTTTTAGCCAACACTGCATGAAACTGTGGTGCTCTCAGATCTCTTCCCTCCAGAGCTCTCCCAAAACAGAAGGAAGAGAGGCATGTAGGGGATACGTTGCCTGTGACATCATGATGGTGAACTTGATCCTCTCCAAATATTCCAGCAGATTCCCTTCTTGTTTGTTTCTCCAGCACTGATGCAGAGATGGTGGGTGGAAAAGCAGCTCTTTTAGGTCTATCTGGCCTATATCTTGTGTCTATCTACCTCAAATCCCAATAAACCCTTAGGAGATCCCAAATAGACACTGGCAGTTGTGGATTCAGCAAGAACAACCAGCCAGACGCTCTCCTTTAGGTTTAGGTGCTAACCAACCAGAAATGTGGTTCTCTTCCTTATGGGTATACACCCAAGTCCAGTAGTGTCGTTTACCATTATGTCCTCTGCACCTTCATCCAGCCTTGCTGGGGATGAAAGGAGTTGCAGGACAAGTAGGGAAATAAAAGCAGCTAGAAGAGAAATACACCTCACGTTTCCTCTTTTATCATCTTTCCTCTTCTGCTTTTTAATCCGATATTAGGAGGTGGGAAACTTTGTTCCAAATTTGGACAAGAAAGACCCTGGAGATGTGAATGCCAAAAGGAAAGGCAAGCTACCTGCAAGACAAAAGCCAAATGCAAGCCGTGGAAGCACAGGCAGATGTTTGCAGAAACAAAGCAGGGGATAAAAATAAAAACAATCTGCCAAATTTACCCTTAATGTGTTGGTTGGTTTCTCTTGCAGTGGGTTATTCAATTGCAAAGGATTTTGAAGTTCTCCATTTCCTGGGTGTGTTACAGGAGCAGCAGAGTTGAGACACAAGCTTTTAATGAAGTTTATGTAAATTTGGGTATGTTTATATTTAGCAAACCAGATTTAGGAGCACTAATAAAGCAGCAGATGAAGCGTAGAAAAGAGCTGGTGCAGTTTTCCACCGCTGTCATCTTTTAGCTTCCTCCCACCATCCCCGACAAAAAGAGTCTGTTTCTGTTGCCTCTTTCCCTTGCAAACAAGTGATTTAAAAAACCCCTTTTATCACCGAATGCTGTCTCCTGAGAAAGCAGCAGGGTCTGTATCTAAAGACCACAATGGAATGTGGAGAAAGAGAAAAATTTGGAGATGCCAAGAGTGGTGACCCCAGGTCCTCACGTATTCTGAGGAAAAGCTGGGTAATTAACCATTGCAATTAGCCTAATGACAGACGTGAGGTGTGTTGACTCCTGTCCATCTGCACAGCACTGCAACCTGGCTGTATAGTTCTTTGATTTGGGGAAGTGAGTGTAGTTGGACAGCCTGAAGAATGAAGCGAGAGCCTACAATGACCTATGTGGGGTTAAGCTGGAGACACATGGGAGACCCATTGTGTCCTGAGGCCTTGCTGCAACTTCTTTGAAATACGTAATTCATCCAGTCCAACCATCAGCTCATCAGCATCGTACCACTAAACCACGTCACTCCATGTGACATCTACTCTTCTTGAAAACCTCCAGAGATGACCTCCTGGATCTGAGCCACCCAGGCATATTCAAGCACTTGGATGGGGCTTCCAAGGAGCAAAAGGCGATCCCACATTGAGCAAACCCTTCCTTATCAGAAAAGAGCAGCACTCCTTTGTACACACAGGAATTCATGTTGAATACATCTGCCAGTCACAGGCATAAAAGCCAAATGAGATTTACAGGCTTGTGCTTGTGTTGGCTTGATGACCGGTGCTGTTTGGGTTGCATCCAGCCTATCTTAACCATTTATCTGGTCCTGTTGATTCCCTCTCTTCCACAGGGATCCCTCATTGTGACCATAAAAGTGCATCCATTTGGGGAAAGAAACGTCTTTAGTACTAGAAATTTCTATAGTCAGAGGTTGGCATCCAATAAAGTGTGACAGAGATTGTTACAGAATAGTGGGCAAAAAATGCTACCGAAATGCAAATAATTTCTCTTGTTTATGCCATCTCCAGCTTCTTATTTTATTAACAAAAGGGACAAAGTCTGGTTTTAGGATTAGCATGGTCAAAGCTTAGGTTTGAGATGGAGCTTACCCACATCCCATCTCAAAAGAGAAGCAACGCAGTGCAGCTGATGACAACAAAACAGCAAAACCCGAGCGTTTCCTATCTGCTTCTTACATCACAGCAAGGCAAAATTGCTGCCAGGCAGAAAGATAGCCAACAGACGGGAGCCTTGCTTCTTGTCTGCATGATTTAATGGGCGGTAGACATGCTGCATGAGAAAACCACACTTTCCTTGAGCCCAGCCTAAGATAGCCGATCGTTCATGTTTTCCTCAGGGATTCCATTCCTACAACACAAAGAGAGTTCTGAAAAACATTTTAAGAACTTATATGTTGGCAAGCACTCATGATATATATACATTTTACAGGAACCAACCATCTGCTTTAACAGCATTCACTGGTGCTTTAATGCTCACCAGGGAGGAAGCCTGCCAGTGCTGTGTGTTTTAAATCAACACCACCAAGCTGAGCATTATATCCAGATCTTGGCTGAAAGGCTCTGACATGGAATCACAGAAACACAAAAGCTTAGAAACATAGATTTGTGTGCACTAGAATGGACCTTTAAGGGTCAGCTAGTCCAACATGAGGAGCATGGAAATAGGCTCCACTCATCATGCAAGTATGTTGATCAGGGAGTTTTGTTTCTGGTTGAACTTTGGGTCATACAGTGGTTGCTGGGCCCATCTGAATCCTTCGCTTCCCTTGTAGGACTTCAGAGACTGTGCATCTGTCCCTGTGTGGCCCATTAATGGATGCTACCTGGTCACCTCCTCTTTGCTTCTGCTTTTCTTCAGCTCATCAGGGAGCAACTAGCAGTCCAGCTGGATCAGCCATTCTGAAAGGGCTATCTAACATCCAGATACCACAGCTAAGTAAAGATGAACATATTCAGTGCATCTGCCGTGCTCTGGAAATGTTGAACTCGTGGTATTTGCATCTTAATTAATGAGCATTGCTTCCCTGGAGTGGAAGTTACAGCCCAAAGGGATCAGGGGAACCTGGGTGGGCATCTCTTAGGAATGGGGGTTTCTTGCTTAATATAAGGTATTTTTGGAGGAAATGGGCTTTTTCATCAGCACTCAAATGTGGTCTTGGACTCCTGAGTGATCCAATTGCATGTGGTGATGTAGAGACAGGAAAACAAAAGCCTCTCAGGACTGACAGACTCACAGCATATGGACCGAACGCTCAACCTCACTTGATTTTTCAGCTGCAGCTTTTTTCCTAATGAATCTAAAGGTGCTGGAGGAGGAGAAGGACACATCTGGAAAAGAAATTTTGGAACCAGGAACCAGCTGTGATTACTGAACTAGAAAACACAGACACATGAAGAGAACAGAAAGAAAAAAAGATGAAAAAGCCAAAAATACAGCCCAAAACACAGGATCTGCCTAAGAGCTGTATTTCATCTTTCTTTCCTGTAGGCTCATCCAACCCAAGGAAGAAGGGCACTGCCATCACAAACCAGACCTACAAGGTTAATACCTATGTGAAAGATAAAAGGGAGCAGGAGAGAAGCCAGAAACATCCCACATGGTGACCTTTGCCATCTGGTTGTGGTGGTCCAGAAGGGAAGGACCTGGGGGAGCTGGTTGGAATCACGTTGGGCAGGGGATGCAGCAGATTAGTGCATCCAGCTCCTGACATGTCAGCAAGTCTCGTTAATCCAAGTTTACATTTTAAACAGAGAATAGGAGCTTCCAACCAAGAGGATTTATATGCAAGGACTTAACAGTTAAATTTATTCATGGCTAAACTGAAAAGCCCAGAGTTATTAAGGCATGAAATTGTGCCAGTCAATTAAAGCGTCAATCACAGCCAGGCTCATTTAGTAGAGCTGCTTTAATCCCAAGAAAGGAACATTTTTTTTTTGGCCTAGTGAGAGAACGCACTGACTTGACTTTGGTTTTAGTGGAATAGCTGTTCCTCAGTTACTGTTCACAGATTTGCCAATTTTCCATTAATTTATTTATTCAGATGCTGCCATGCTCCTTCCAAGGTGATACGTGTAGAGACATAGGTGCAGTTTGAGCTGAAGGTGGGATAACTCTATTGAGCTACACAGCAAACCAACCAGCAGACAAGGAAACGGAACAGAGAGGTATTTAAACTGGCAAATATTGCAACTTCGGGTCACCTTTTTTTTTATTCATACAATGGTTCTTCTTTTCTGTTTAAAGCTCAGCAATTCGATTATTCTACTTGTCATTTCATGCAACATCTGTTTGTTTTATTTGCTCTTCAGACATTTTTTTTTCCTTTCTGATCCAAATGCTGAATGCTGACTTCATT